TTCAGCTCGACTTCAGTGTAAATATCTTTTCCAGTTCTGGTCACCCCACACCAGTATTTTCCAGCATCCGCAGAATGAAGATCAGAGATGGTTGTTGTGAAGATTCGTGCTGTTTTGTCATCATGGATCCTGTATTTATTTTTCCTTGATTCCGATGTTGTAACAAGAACATCACTGTCACCACAGTCATTCTTACACAGGTACTTCTCATAAGACTCGTAACCCTCATCATAAGAACAGGAAACTTTAACCGCACTCCCCACATTTCCAGTTACATGGATCACCTCTTCTGCACTGGTCACACACCTCAGAGCAACTGGAAAAAGAATGTGAAACGTTTTTGTGTGTGTATTTTCTTTGTGGTCATCATGCGAGATTTCATACTAACAATGTTAATGCTGTATAACGAAATTACCAAGACTGAAAAAGCGTTTGGCCTACTGTTCTTCTAAATTACTAGAAGAGATAGATGTACTACTTGGTCTACATCAGCCTTTGATCTTTATATTTTAGTTATTTACCAGTTTAAACAACTTACTGCAAAAGGTGAACAGCAGGTTTTGAAGTCTCCTCATCTTTGCTTTAGTTTGTCCATATAGAGCCTTGACAGGAAATTCTCTCAGGTTTAAAAAAATCATGCAAACAATAGGTGTCATTTAACACCATAGTAATGTGAAGGGAGGGGTAGAGCTGGACCATCAACACAGATGGAGCATTCTTAGTTGGGTTTCTGAAATAGCTGACATATGCCATCTAGTGGTTAAAGAAGTTTTCACAAGCTTTCCATAATAGCATAGAATAGAATAGAACAGAATAGCCCTGTATTGTCATTGTACATGTACAATGAAATTGTGTGTGTGTTCCACACCTGCCGGAATAAAAAATAAATAGTAGACAGCAGGAATCCCTTTTTAAAGAGAAAGCTATTAAAACAAACTACCACTCTATTGCTAAGTAAAACACAGAGACAAAAATGAATAAAAGTTAAAGTATGAAGAAAAAAGCAGGAGCAACTGAAACAGGCTGCATGCTGGTTGACATATGCGTGCTGCACAAAGAAGCTCTGATTTACCTGAAGCTCCAACCAGAGGTCAGGGGTTCAAACAGGTGGTATGCAGGTTGCAAGGGGTCACCTGTGATGGTCCTGGTTTTCCTGAGACAGGAGGAGTTGGTGATGGCCTCCAGGGGTGGCAGAGGGCAGCCACCCCTGGTGCCTTCCTGTTCTCAGTTGTGGCCCCTGCGTGCCAAACACACAGGGAGTAGGAGAGCACACTGAATCGGACTGATTGATGCCAGTTGGTGAGCAAGTCTTTGATCCAGGAGAATTTCACAGGGAGAATCTGAGGGTGGTCCAGTTTGGCATTATGGCATATGTGTCAAACTCTGGCCCGTGGGCCAAATTTGGCCCGCAGCCTAATTACATTTGGCTCGCGAAGCCATACCAAATTACTATTAGAGCTGGCCTACTGGTATTATACAGCTAATATATATATTGTTTAGTATTAAGCTTTGCTTGTTCCATATTCAGTTTTTCAGCAAAACGTGTTTGAGTTCATAAGAAAGGATTCATTCTTATATCTGGAGGAATAAATATATTTCAATAAATATTAATGTTAGCCCGCAACTTTGTTCCAGTTTTGAATTTTGGCCCACTGTGTATTTGAGTTTGACACCCCTGCATTATGGTGTTGAATGTCAAGCTGTAGTCCAGGAAGAGCAGACAGACTGAGACTATGAGTAAGCACTTGCAGATAGTAGGAAGGAAAACCTTCCTTTTAACAGGAAGAAACCTTCTGTAGAACCAGATTCAGGCAGCCACCTACTGCGACTGGTTGGGGTGAGAGGAGGAAGACAGGACAAATGCACAAGACACACAATAAATGGCACTGTTAATAGCACTGGCACTGTTATAAATTATGTCTCAAAAGAGCCATAATTTATAATAATAAAATTGACACCACAAAATGTTCAAAGTTGTAAAAATGCCTAACTAGTTAGATTTATGGTTTATTTTGGCATTGTAAGCCATTTTTAATAAAAATTTGTCAAGTAGAATTAATTACATCCTACACACGTATGTAAGGCTGGCATAACCTTGGTCATAAACCTGTCAAAGATGACTGTAACTAAGGTGGATGATAAGGTCTGTGTAGAATGCCCAGAAAGTTATGTGATTCATGGGTTGTACTTCATGGAGGAGGAAAGGTACAAGGAACCTCAGTCAACATAAGTGAGGGTTCAGGAGGGCTCTCGCTCTTTCTTACTCTGTCAATCTTTTTTTCTTTTCCTCTGTTTTCTTTTTGTCTTCTTTTCTCTTTTTTCCTCTTTTTTTTTCTCTCTGGCACTTTGTCTTCCACATATACATATGCGTAAGGCTCTACACCCCAGGGTCCCTTTGCTTTGCGCTGATTTGCTGTTCTGTTTGTTGAGATGTTATGTTGTTTATATGACAAACCCTGTTATTTTTCAGAGGATGTTTTTGAGTGATTTGTCATTTTGCCTATATCATTTTTCTCATAACACTTTTCCTTTTTTGTAATTCATCCCACATTTCTTCTATTTGGATACCATTATGGTTTAGAGTTAAAGGCTGTGGAAAATTGCCTCTTGCCTATGTGACTAAATCTATGGAATACTTAAACACCTTCAGCCTGAGGCAGTTTGCGACAAACCAACAGCTATCACATGCTAAACCCACTGTTACTCTTTAAATGGTCAAACTCATATGTCTCTGGAATCAGTCAGTTCTGTTTCTACAGTGATATTGATCCAGCAGGTAAAGATTGAAGAAATGTTTCATATCCAACAAGACAGCTTCTCCTTATAGTGAAGCCTCGCAGGGCCATTAGACAGGAATCAGTGTCTAGGTTACATAAAATGCTAATGTACACTGCAGAGTTTAGAACCCAAATACAGACACATGGAAATCTAATGCAAATGAGCCTTCATTTTGGGTGGTAAAAAATCCATAAACAGAAGAGTAAACAGGATCTAAAACTGGCTGGAAACACAGAGAGGGCATTAATAACACTGGGAAAACAAAGACAAGGGACAAGCAGGTCAAGGTCACTAGGGAAAGTGGACACAAGAAGATAACAGTAATTTTAGACGGTGAATCAGGAGGGGAAGTAAACTAAACATGGGGCATTACAAATAAGAAACTATCAAATTATACACTATTTAACAATGACCATAACTAAATAGGGAAATATAAGCACATACAAGATACAGCCTCAAATAGAAATTTAGGTTCACACTTCTTGAAACTGAGGGTCTCCATCTGTCTAACATGTGTGTTGTTTGAAGTTAGGGCTGCCATCACACCCAGAGTCAGAGATTCACACACCTCTCACTCTGTCTCACACATCGGTTTTCTTGCGAAACTGAAAAATAATTTCACAGTTTTAATGAAGTTATTAACTTTACTGTATAAACATGAAATCTTGCATTCTGTTCAGAGTAATGTCACAGGTCAACAGCAGCATGGTCGCTCTCCTATTCAGTTAGTAAACATGTTTACAGAGAGACATTCTTTGTCGTGATGCAACTCTCATGATTCCCATTAATAATCCCAATGATCTTTGCACATTACCCAAATGTGCAAAGAATTTCCCCCATTTACAAGCTGTTTTGTTATTCAAAGATATGCGTATCTGTGTATTCAAAGAATAACATGAATATGATGATAATTGTAGTTTAATGCATCAAGTTCTGTTTCTTCCTAATTCATAAACACAGTGGACATTTGAAGACATCACAGTGTGTGTAACATAAGCAACAACACAAATAACCTTATGATAGAAGGTCAACAGAGACCAACAACTGATTTCGCTTCTCTAGTACATTTTAGCTCCTATTCTGTTCTTAGTGTTAAACAATGAATATGTCATTTTCTTCTGATCACACTCCAGCCAACTGAACCAACATATGTATTTTCTCATTTTACTCACTTTCAATGTACAATTGAATTTTAGTTTGCTCTTATTTACCTGGTAACACTTTCAGCTTTATTTCAGTGTAGATAGTTTTCAAAGCTCTGGTCACCCCCACACCAGTATTTCTAAGCATTGGTAGAATGAAGATCAGGGGTGGGAGTTTTGAAGACACTGTTACGTTATGATGAATTGCATATTTGTTTTTCACTAGATTTGCTGTTATAATAAAATCATAATCCCTGCCACAGTGATTCTTACACAGGTACTTCTCTCAAGGTACTTCTCATAATCCTTATCAAATGTATTGTAAAACTATTGAATTCACACACTTAAGAAGCAGAGTAAATCAAATATTTGATTAGAACTTTTTTAATCCAAAAGGAAATTGGTGTGCCTTTTATATAGTCAGTGCAATTAAAAATAAAGTCACAGGATTCACTTTACACCAACTAAGCTATCACAGTGCAAATAGGCAGAAAGTGACACAGTAAATAAAATTAATGCATGAGGTGAGACGGTGAGATGGACTGTCCCCGAAGCTGAGGAGTTTTTTTTTCCAGCATCCTCCTCTCTGACACACTACCTCAGCTACCTTTACCCCGCTTCTCCAGGAGACTGCACACGCACGCACACACACACACACACACACACACACACACACACACACACACACACACACACACACACACACACACATATATTTCTGTCATCTGGAAAGTCCATGATAGTTAGTCAGGAAAATCAAACCTACTATTTTAAACAACTTTCTAAATAGCAATTTATGTTCTATCTCTAAAATGGGAGTTATTATTATTAATTTTATAAAGTTAGCTTTTAAAATTAACACACATGAAGAGAATCTGATAACAGTTCATGAGTAACAGGATTCTTTTCCAATACACTTATTTAAATACTCCACCACAATAACTGTATTCACTGCTACACAATAGCAGTGACATTGAAAGCTAAGGAAGGAAGTTTAATTTCCTGGCTCCTCTGAAGGATGTCCGTCTGCAACGGGCTGGAGGTGCTTTGAAAAACTGACCAGTTAAACAGTTTTGTGGACATGTGTTTTATTTTCTTTCTTTTTTCTTTGAATGCATCAGTAAAATATAATACTAAGCTAAACAAAAATAATTCTACTGTTAAACTTAAAATTAATTCCATGCACTTTTTTTTGCTTTGCTTATTAATTCTCTTTACACTCATGTTGATAATTTATATTCTGGTTTTTCTACAATTTTATAAAAACAGCAGATTTTGTTATGAAAATCAAGCAAAAAACAAAACAGTCTTCTGCTGAAATTTTGTATCACGGTAGATTTTTTTTTTTCTGGTAAAGTTTTGATAGATACTTCATCTCCACCGATATCCTCATAGTGGCTACCAGTCATCTCAGCTTCTTGAGTTCCATTAAAAAAAACAACAACACAATAAACAGAACTATGAGTGACATGTATTACAGACACTTGGGATTTCATGGAAACATTTTTGAATGTTCTATTGTAGCACTACAGCCAGTGTAGAATGTTTGTCATTGTATGTCATTGCATACAAGTGTATACCTCCACTACTGAGGGAAGATACACGTATGTCTCTCCAGACTTGTAATATATTTAAAGAAAACTGAAGAAAGTACAAACAGTTGATACTTCTTTAAATACAGAATCTAAAACACAAAGACTGAAATTATCAAAACAGCAGCACATAAATTATGTATCCATGGTTCTGTAAGTGCAGGCTGCTGGCCGATAGCCTCCCCTATGTGTCACAATAAAAGACTGCACTATGATATACTCATTCATCAATAATTAATGTCAGAAACCCACATAGAACTTAAACAAGGCCAGGGGAGCACTTCTCTTGTACATAAGTTATTTTCTTGAATACATAATTCAAGTTTCCAATTGCAATTATATTGACCTTTGTGACTTTCAGCTGTTTGCCTACTGTCACAGAACGAGACTGAACCCATGTTATAGTGTGGATTTCATCAACATTCATACATCACTTTGCTATTTTCTCAGCATCAAAAATAAAAATGTATGCGCAATGACTCCAAATGGGAGACTTCATGAAATTCCAGTTGTGCTACATTACAAATAAACTTTACATATTAAACGCAACTAAAAATAAAAATCAGTCATTTATTTTATGCCCTATATTTATAATTACGTGTATTAAAGAAACAAAACTCTATTAAGGCTTTAAACTTCTCTTACTCCACTTTCTGCTGCCCCCATCGCTTCCTCTGAGCTCTATAGCTTATTTTGGGTATTTCTGCTTGTGGCTTCATCACCTAAAAACAGAGCATTAGATTTGGTTACACTTTTTTGCATGCTTTTCCATATTTGAATGTAAGGATCTCTCTGTGTATATGAATGTAAATGATACCTTTAACTGTGGAACATCTGTACTTATAAAGAATAAACAGGACACACATCAGTAGGAGCACAGGGGTTACAATGTAAACCACATAGAGTGCTGAAAAAAAAATAGAACAGAACACTGTAAAAACATTTTTAAAGCAAGCATTTTCCAAAGCATTCAATTTTCACAGGCATAACAGCAGAACTGTGGGCTTAGCTTACATAATGGTTTCATTATCTTTTTATTAAAAGTTATGTGTATTTTAACTTAACTTTTGCATTGATACACACATCCATTTGATTTTTAATTTGAATTAGATTTTTTTTTTTTACATTAGCTTGAATTAAAGGCCCAGCATGCACTCAAAACCACATGTTAACCCTAATTATATTGTGGAAATGTACTTATTTTGCTATTACTGTTGTCATAGCATTTAGCAGCTAACTAACAGACACATATACTGTATCTTTAGCTTTACCTGGGTTATTTGTTTCCAGAGTTCCCAGAGTGTGCTGCAGAAAAACTGTAGGAGAAAGCAACTTTATTTCAACAATGACATTAAAAAAATGACCACGGCAACTCACACATCTGTGGGATTGCTCTGTTCTATGTTTCAGCCTATGATGTTGATGCCAACATGGCACGACTGAAGGGATATTTTGAATCCTACAAGAATCCCAAACTGTTGTTCCAGTCAACTGAATCAAACTAAAAATTAAAATATAGGAAAAAGGCACAACCACTGTCTAGATCAGCACTACTGTTGCAACGCAACCAGAAATACCGTCTTTGGTTCCTTGCTATACTTCTAGATGCTGAGAGCAAAGATTTTGTTCTAGATTTCATGGTGCCAAAAAGTCTTTCACAATTGTTTTCCTGATACTGTAGCAAAGAGAAGTGTACAGTACACAGTGATATGACCCTCAAAGTTGACACAGTTTTCAACACAACTTATTCATATTCAATAAACCTGTGCATATTGTGCTGATAAAACATGACTGGCACATGTTTAGATGAAGTAAGTTGAGCTCTTGGAATTTTTTAATCTTTCACAATTTTGTCACTTTATTCCAACACTATTCAATAACTTTCACCCCATTCATTAATTTTCACTTGGTTACTTAAATACTACATGTTGTCTTCATATTACATAATGTTCAACAAAGTCTAGAGTCTGGTTAACATTATTTAGAATCACCAATTAATCTATCTCTAATAACTGCATGACTTTTAACTGTGGGAGGAAACCAGAATACCCAGAGGGAACCAACTGCACACTAGCAAGATTGTGGATTTGAACCCAGAACCTTCTTGCTTGAGGCAACAGCACTAACCATCATGCCACAAGCTGTCAATTGAGGCTTAACAAAAGTAGGAAAGCTATGAATTACAAGGCTTGATGCAGAATTTTCTGTACACTATTGTCCTTGACAGGTTAAACCATAATAAATAGCGATAGCATACACGTGGTGTGTGTGTAGTTTTCTGTCTTTCATAACTCCAGTGATTTTCCTGCAGTTTGAAATCTTGTGTGATCTTGTGAATTTCGTGAGTCCGGGCAACTAACCACTCTTACTAGATTGTATCATGTCATCTCAACAAGAACAAATTAAGTTGTTGAATTTCAAACAGATCCTACATGATTTAATTACGTTCACCATAGAAACATGAAATTATTACAAGGTAGACTTTTGTAAATGTGACAACCACCCAATTTTATGTTTTTCAATGTATATATATGTATTTAAAATTCCACAGTTTTACTCCTCATTACATCAATCGTCAGATATTGAAACAAAAAATTGTTCAAAAATAAATTCTACTCCGAGTGTGACATTCAGAGTGCTTATGGAGTTTAAAGATGCTTTTCTGCCCAAAAAATGTAATGTAGCTGTCGCTTGTACTCAAGATGTTATGAGAGTTTATAAATGACGAAGAAATAAGGCTATTAAAAGGCAAAAAAGTGTACTGATGGCCTTGTCATTGTATAAAGACATGAACGACTAGCAAAAATGACTTACAATTTTGAACATATGGAATAGGAATTGACTGCTAAAGAGCAAACAATATGAGTGTTAATAGTTAATTCAGCAAAACTAATTTTCTGTAATTGTAAACAAATATGGTTTAAAACAGCGCTTATGTTGCTGCCATAGTGTAACTAGGGTTTAGAACAGTAACCTTAATCAGTACATCACAGAGTCTGTGGCATCACTACTTTGAAAGTGACCATTCACACTAGGATCCCTCATACTTTGGCCTCCACTCTTCAAACTATATAAAGCTAGCTGATTGGAGAAGCCAGGATTCAGCTTCAAAAGCAGAGTTACCTGCAACTGTGTGAATCTGCAAACAGATGACTTCTTGCATGCGTGGTTGCTGAGTTCTTAGCACTGATTTTGAATTTACATGCAAAGAATTTAAATCACAAGTGGCAGTGAATACCTGTTCCAACAATTATTATTTCAGAGTGATTTACCAGCAGCGGTAAGTTTGTGGTTCGACAACTGAACTGATCTCAAGTAAGAACATAGCATACAAATCTATTCATTACATTATCCCGTATAAAAGTGTCCAACTCACCCGACAGCTCCATCTTGGTGTAGTTTCCAATTTTCCACTGTGAATCTGACCCACACCAGTATGTCCCAGCGTCAGCTGCTTCCAGCTCTGCAATCATCACCAAGAAAGAGCTGGAAGAAACATTATCATGGACAGTGAACCTGCTTTGATTGGTCATGTCCATGCAGCTGTTGTGCTGGTCTCCCTTACAGAGGAACTTCCTGTTATCCCGGTGTTGTGGAGAATAAGGACACTGCAAAGTTAGTGGCTGCCCCATAGTACCATTTATTTTAGTTGATTTGACACAGCAGAACTCTGTATAAATGAAAGAAAAAGATTATTTCAGAATGATCAAATATTCAACTGATGTAATTAAATGCACAGAAGCTTTGACTGCTCACCTTCAACTTCCAACAGAACTGCAGAGAAAACATCCAAGTCAAAGTTTCTTTGGACACCACAAAGGTAATACCCTGAGTCCTCTTGGCTCAAACTGGTGATGTTCACTGTAAATTTTTTTAACATTTTATCATCATCAAGTCTGAATCGTCCATTTTCCTTGTTGTCAGAGGTGATTAGTGCCTGCTGAAGACATGTGGAAGGCCGGTTTCCTCTGCAGATGTACTTCAGGCTGTTCTGGTACTGACGCTCATACGGACAACTAATGGATTCTGAATATCCCTGATAATTCAGAATTTTGGTCACAGTATCACAGCAGCGGTCTGTCAACAGGGGTAAAAGCATCAGAAGACATGTTACACAAACAGCTGTATATAAAACTTAAGGATTTTATATTCAACTCAATGAGGAAGTTTACATTTCTAAACTTGTGACTGTTTTCCATCATTTGATGCTCATATAGTGGTTTAAATTTTACAGCAGAGAAACAGATAATGCTGAACAAACAGAAACTATCTATGAATTCCTTATCTTTAACTGTAACTCCTGAATCCCTGTAACTCGCCGTAACTCGCTTTCAGTGTGCAACAGAATTTGACCAAGTTTTTGTTTACCTTTTACTAGTTTCAGCTCGACTTCAGTGTAGACATCTTTGAAAATTTTTTTCACTCCACACCAGTATTTCCCGGCATCCATGGAACGAAGATCAGAGATGGTCGTTGTGAAGATTCGTGCTATTTTGTCATCATGGATCATGTATTTATAGTTCACTGGGTTTGTTGTTGTAATAAGAACATCACCCTTGCCACAACTGTTCTTACAGAGGTACTTCTCATATGATTCATAACCCAGATCATAAGAGCAGGAAATGTTAACCTCTCTTCTCAGATATCCAGTGACATTGAGCACCCCTACTGCACTGGTCGCACATCTCAGAGAAACTAGAAAGATAATGTGAAAACAACAAAATAATTTAAATTTTGTCATGTCAGCTGTCGTGATAGCAATGCTATTGTTGTATAAAGACATTACCAAGAACAATACCGGGTGTGTCATACAGCTCCTCAGTACTAAAAAAGTAAAACGTACCATTCAAACTACATCTGTTGTTAATCTTTATATATTTACTCATTTAAAGGACTTACTGCAGAGGATGAAAAGCAGGTTTTGAAGGCTCCACATCTTTGCGTTGCACACAATATTATGCACACAATAGGAGTTCCTTCTTGCCACAGGAGTTTGAAAGGAAGGGTGGAATTCGACCTTTAACACAGAGGAGGTAGAGCATTCTTACTTGGGCTTTCCCTAAAAGTAATTAGCAGTCATTTTTGAAACAGCTGACATATATCCTCTTATGGTAGAGGAAGTATTCAAACGTTTTACATAAACATCACTGTTAAAAAAAGTGAAACAGCTACATTGCATGAAATTAATTTTGTATATCTGAGAAACATTTGTGTTTGAAGTTTATTGTGCTGTGTTCTCAGTTCATTAATTTCCTGGTTTGTTAATATTCAGAAAACAATCCCCAGATGCTTGTGCCCTACCAGGGAAGATAGCAGTCAACTGGACCAGCGCACATATACTGCAGGACCGGATGCGCTGTCTACACCGGCTCTCTCTTACCCTTTACCCGCCCCTGTTGCTTGTCTTGTGTTTCTATGGTGTATTGATAGTCATGTGCTTTTGTGCTGAGGTGTTTTTTCTGTTATCAAACTGTTCTCCCATTAGGAGCTCAGTCTGAGTGGAGTTTTTTTTCTCCTCCTCTCACCTCATGTAGTGTATTTTCGTTGTTTTTCCTATCAGCCTACCTTCTGACATGTCTGCCCAATGTGATGTTTGTCTAAAGTTGGTCAGAAGGTTCCTTTGTAAGTGCGCATGCGCCATTAGCGTGCTGCCTGCTGTAACCCTAATTTCCCTCGGGATGAATAAAGTATTCTGATTCTGATTCTGATTCTGATTAAAAGTGACCATTACACCTGTCTCATTGTCATTCACGCATTCTCTTTTGCCTCTACTCACTTCCATTTGTCTCCTTTTCAGTGCATTTATTTTTTAAGGCAAGCTTCTTATCTGTAAAACTCTCTGTGAAAAAACAAAAAACATACCTTGTATTCCAAAGTTTTGTAAATTCAGGTCGACTTGCAGACTAGGTTTTACTCGTTCCACATGCACTCGTGGACACTCTTATGTTTGAGCATGAAATTAGTTATAGGAAAAATGTGGTTTCAGCCAACTTTTATTTATTGCACAGAAGTCCAATAACAGCACACTGCTCAGGTTTAGATCAGGGAGTCTGTCTCTTTCATGCCCCTCCAGGTTTTCTTAATTGTTCATGTGAGAGTTAATGTCTCCTTGTAAGATGACAGAGTCCCCACACAAAGTAAATTCAAGAGGTCTGGGTATTCTGAACTGTCAGCTGTTGCCTGCCGCCTCTCACAAAGGGCAACTCCAGATTTGAACAGAATCCAGGCCCTCTCCTAGAGACTGGTTCAAGAGCTCAAGCTGTGTGTTGAAGTGAGCTGAACTATATCTCGCCAGGATCAGGTTCATTATTGTTATTGTTTATTTATTTTTCATAAAAAATTTCCAATAGTGTTATCAGAGTTTGCCAGTTTACATAGTTTAAAGCTCATTAGCTCCTCACCATGTAGTGCCATAGTCTTTAAATAACTAGGGGAAAAAAATCCATCCATCCATTTTCTTATCCAGTTCAGGGTCTGGAATGTATCCTAGACGTCATAGGCCAAAGGGCAGGGTAAACCGTAGCATGTCTTTGAACTGTGGGAAGAATCCAGAGAGAACCCATACAAGGTTGGAAACAGCATTCGAACTCCACACAGAAAGTAACTTTTGGTAACTTTTCTACATATTTTTTCAGACTTTTTTTTGACAATTCATCAGCTGTTTCTTTCAAAACAGCAAAATGTGCTGAAGAGGTCTATGTAGCACAACTAGTACAAGACGTCTGTACTCAAGGTCTGGTGAGTAAAATTAAACATTTTTTACTCTGTGATTAGCAGGTAGGTGTGACTGTAAGAGCTGCAACCTTGCAGTTTTGGGATGTAGTATGCTGAGCAAACTCGTTAATGTTGGCTGATAACTTGTCAGAGTGAAGGACTGAATGCTACAACAACTTGTGTCAACATTTCCACAAATTCAGAGATTACTTCTTCACTCACAAATAGATTTAAGCAGTCTCACCAGTGATATATGCTAATATCCAAGAGAAGAGGGTATTTGAAGTGATAAAACAGCACCAGCAGAGTGCTCACAGTGACACATTAACAAGTGACACTGAAAGTGTAACTTTTGAAAAAAATGTTTAATTTTCTTCAGAGGAGGTGGAAAAAAATAAAGTTCATGATGTTAGTCAAGCAGCAACAAATTCTCTACAAATCTGAAAAGGTTGGATTAGTTTGAGTAACTGATCAGGTCAAGAGTTCTGTGGATTTTTCTGTTCCTTTTCTTTCGGTGTATTTTTTTTTTACTTTACATATCTCGGGAATATAGTGCTATGCTCTTGTTTACTAAGGCAAAAGGCTAATTTATGTCAACTAATGATATGAAGTAATAATAAATGTACAATAATAATAAAAATATAATAATGTTATTATAAATTTAAGCTAAATACAGCATTACCATGTTAATAAAATAAAAGCACTGCACCTGGTAATTTTCAGTTGCAACAAACAGAAAGAAAAATTACATCAAAATTGCAATTAGTAAACATAACTTTTTAACATTTCACTGCTCGATTTCTGCCCAAATATCTGGAACTGAAGGAGTCTGACAATGTGGCAATTTACATTAAAATAGGGCAAAAATAAACAAAAGATTTAAAAATGACTGTTCTATAAAACTTATTAGTAAATGGTCCAACATTGGAATTCATTTTGCTTTGCTTATTTATTTACTTTGCACTTGTGTTAGTCGTTTGCATTTGAGTTCAATTTCATGAAAAGACTGCAGATTGCTGTTAACACTAAGCAATCAAAGTTAAAGCTAATAGCAAAAGAGTAAGAAGTGATGATAAAACAGAAAACACAACAAAGTTTCACTGAGAAAATAAGACGGCTGGATCACTATATGTTGAGATTTGTTGTGTAACTGTTAATGATCAATCAAGTAGATTAATCTCTATACAGGTAAGACCAACGGTTTGACCTCATATTAACACTCTGTTTGTTTTATGTCTGTGAAGGTTCATCCAGGTCTTCGCAGTCTAAGGAGCTGGAAAGAAAAGCATCTGGAAGTTTCTTGAACATGTTTTATCTCTCATCCGAGAAGCTTCTTCAGTTCTAAGAGCAATTGGTGGAATTCTCTAAAGTCCAGACATGTTCCTTTCCAAACTCCTTAGACTGATTATTTTCTATTGGCTTTGTGGAAATTTTCATTACAGTAGATGTCTTCAAATATTGTGAAGTTTTCATAGTCTTGTTCTTCATCTTCATATTGGGCACAGGCACTCTGTTGTTTGGAGGTCTGCTTCTTCGAGTACATCACAACTTCTTGGTTTCCATAAATCTATTCAGACACCAGTTAACACACACAATGTTAGTTATGTATTTTGGAATCTATTATGAAGCAAAGATTTTAAAAAGTATTTTCCTGCATTCAAACTAAAGTTGCCTTTTTAATGCAAGTTTCCACCAATGAGTATAACAATGGCTATATGCTCATGATTACACACACACAGGCAAGCTTATATATCTCAACTTACATTTACTCAAGTGCCTTGAGGTGTGACTACTTTTGTGATTTTGTTTTATAATAAACTGAATTGAAATTAGTGCAAATAAGTTGCATGGTGCCAGACATTTTTCATTGTTGGGGTGTAGCAGGATTGCTCCGAGCCCAACTCGAATTACTGAACTCCGCACATACCTCTAAAGGAGAAGGCAGCAAGACTTCATTTTCCACCACATTTACTTGTGATCTCATTCTTTCAGTCACTACCCAGTGTTGCAGTCACTGGTGTAAATCAGTTTAAATGACTGACTAAAAGTGTTTTCACTTGTTCTTGATTTACGGTATTGAGAAATGGTTAGAAAAGTTTTATGGCATATGATATGTCAGTGCTCACTGATTTTAATTTGTCTTTAACTTTAAAGGTTTTTCCATTATATTGGTTGACTATTCACATAATTAGAGTTTTTTATTCTTGAGTTAGTCTGTTAAGCCCCAGGGATGTTTCTGAGGTTCCTGTTTAAAAATCACATTCCAATGGTGAATTGACCATTTCTCTGCAAATACAAACTCTGTAAACAATCTTGGTATCAAAAGAAAGCTAAAAAATATACAGAAGTTATTCCAGGCCTGGTTTTTTATAGCGCATAAACCCCTAAAAATATGCTGCAGTAGATTAAAAACTGAAGGAACCCACAAATCAATATATGGACATTACCTGGGCAAAGATTGCTCAGCAATAACTCTGATATTGCTTCACCTCAGCAATATCAGAGTTACAGAGGTTTTATGAGGGACATAGCTGAAGGTTTTGTAGTTTGGCAGAATTTGGCCTAATCTGTGAAAGTTTTAATTTCTTCAGCACTGAATAGCAGAAATAAGGCTTTGTCAGAGGTCATTTAATTAAAATAATTAAAAATCCGCAACCGACAACATTGTACACAACAGTAGATTGGTGTGTAAAGGGCAAGGGAAAAGGCAGAAAATAAAGACTTTTGATGGGAAACTGTTCTCGGAGTACACAGAGAGCTCTGCAGCAAGTGCAATTCTATCGTGGTTGAAGAAACATACCAAAAGTTACAGGGAATTCATTACAATGTTTTTCCAAATGTGAAGTGTAGTTTTGGTCTTTTGCTGCTGCTTCAGTGAATTTTGGTTAGACAGTTACAGTTTCGGAATCTGTGAGATGTCTGCTTTCAGCACTTAACAGCATATCCATGTACGTTGAACAATCCGTGCTTTGTGTTTACATCTTTTGCTGTCTTGACTGTGTTTGGTAGTTGTTGAACGGTTTTGGGAGCATTTAGCTAAGATTCTGACGTTTTTGTAGGTAATTTCCTCCAGGGATCTCTGAGATATAATGCTCTCAAGAATAATGAGGTTAGAGAGAAAACCCATAAACAAAATGGACTGACAGTTATCAATGCCTCTGTTCAATACTTTGCTTCAGAACCAAACATCTTGAGTTAGAGTAGGTCAGATACAAGGACCGGACTGAAATTGAATGGAAAAAAAAACCACACCCAATGAATAACTCTGAAAGACCTTCAGAATTCCTGGAGAACTGTGGCTTAAGGGCAATTAAAAAAAATTACAAGTCTGGGCCTTTTTAAATAAAACATAAATTATTAATGACTCGAGACTTTTGCACGGTATTGTATTAAACACAACTAAGAATCAGTTTGTTTTTTGCGTTATCCTGTAAGTTTATGGTGAGACATGTTATAGATATGACACAATTTGTACTTTAGTTTTCTTACATCATTTTCCATCGCATCAATCACTTCCTCTAAACCTTCTGCCTTGGGTGCATTTGTGTCCACAGTGGCTTCATCTTCTGAAAACACACAGCAGAAAACACGGTTATGCTCTTTTCGCATGCACATTTGAGTGGATGACTTTCTGCATGTGTATGAATGTAAAATATACCTTTTACTTTGTAATGTTTCCACTTGTAAACTACAACCACAAGGATGCCTATCAATAGCAGCAGCACAAGGGGAACGGTGAAAGGAACATAAAGTGCTGAATCTGAAAAGCAGAATGCAGTAAAAATACAAACTTCCTTTTTATGGTTTTCTGAAAGACACTTAGCAGAACTGTGGGTTTAGATTATATTTTATTAATAGTTGCAGCTGTTGACTACTGGTGCACACAACCATAGCTGTTTTTGCACTTAGGGTCATTTTGGTGTGACGTACATTCACCCCCAAGGGACTTACTGTAACTGTAGCCATGAAAATATAAAAGTAACCAAAGCTTATGGAGTGATAACATACTTGACCTCACAACATTAATGAATTGAAAAACACATATTGTATATACTGTACCTTTAACAGGTTGACCAGAAGTTTGTGTTTGAGCTTTTCCAAGAGTTTTCATTGAAGAAGTTTGAGTTTTTACAAGATTTTCTACTGTAGGAGGTACAGTTTTTCCAGGAGTTTTTACTGTAGAAGGTACAGTTTTTCCAGCAGTTTTTACTGTAGAAGGTACAGTTTTTCCAGCAGTTTTTACTGTAGAAGGTACAGTGCTGGTATGCTGCAGAAAGACTGTTGGAGAAAAAAAAACCCTCTTAGTTCTCTTAGAAACTTTATTTTAACACAAGAATCACATTTTAGTAGAATGACTAGTGCAGAGGGTCCTGACTGATACCCCAAGAATCTTAAACTATTCACACAACTGAAATTAGACTGTTAATTAATTAATTACTTAATTAATGTAGAAAAACCAGCCAGTAAAGAAGATGTAAAAAAAAAAAACCCCCCACAAAAAACTGGCCTCTAGTTCCGTTTGGCATATATTCTGTGCTTTGTGTGAAACACTATGAAGGCAGAGTTGTTATAATTCTATCACACTAGAAATAACTGAATCACCAGCTGTAGTTATGCTTAAATAGTAGTAACTCATAGCTCTGTCCATTTTTCCTTCATTTAAATGTGTTCATCTCACCGACTGACAGCTGAATCTTGGTGTAGTTTCCAACTCTCCACTGTGAGTCTGACCCACACCAGTATGTCCCAGCATCTGCTTCTTCTAACTTTGTGATCGTCACTGAGAAAGAGTTGGAATAAATACCGCCTTGTAGTGCGAATCTGCTTTTACTCGTCACCATGTCTCTGCAGCTGTTGCGGTGGTCTCCCTTACAGAGGAACTTCCTGTTATCCCGATGTTGTGAAGGATAAGGGCACTGCAGAGTTAGTGGCTGTCCCACAGTACCTGTTATTTCAGTTGATGTGACACAGCACCACTCTGTCAGAATGAAAGAGAAAAACTATTAAAGACTCATAAAATATTCAACTTTTTTAAAAAGTCTTTTAGAAGAAACTGTTTTGTTCTGGTTGGTATAATGAGATATTACTATGACCTCTCACCTTTGACTCGTAGCTCAACAGCAGAGAAAACATCATGGTCAGAGTTTGTTTGAACACCACAGAGGTAATGCCCTGAATCGCTTTGGGTCAAGCTGCTAATTGTCACTGTGAATATTCTTGACATTTTTACATCATTAAGTCTGAATCGTCCATTTTCTCTGTTGTTAGAGGTGATTAGTGCATCCTGCAGACATGTGGAGGGCTGGTTTCCTCTGCAGATGTACTTCAGGCTGTTCTGGTACTGATTCTCATGAGGACAATTGATGGACTCAGAGTATCCCTCATAACTTTCAATATTGGTCACAGTATCACAGCAGCGGTCTGTCAAAAAGATAATTTTATTAATTTTACAGAAAGCAGTGTTTTCTGTCAGCTGATATAATGAGACGTTACTATGAATGCTCACCTTTAACTTTCAGCTCAAAAGCATAGAAAAGATGCAGGTCAGAGTTTCTTTGGATGCCACAGAGGTAACGCCCTGAATCACTTTGGGTCAAACTGCTAATCTTTGTTGTGAATTTTGTTGACATATTTTCATCGTTAAGTCTGAATCGTCCATTTTTTTTGTTGTAAGAGGTGATTAGTGCCTGTTGCAGACACATGGAGGGCCGTGTTCCTCTGCAGATGTACTTCAGGTTGTTCTGGTACTGAGGCTGATATAGACAACTGAAGGACACTGAATATCCTGCATAACTTTCAATTTTTGTCACACTGTTACAGCAGCTGTCTGTCAAAAAGATAAATAGCATCACAAGACACGCTACAACCAGAGATATGATGTTTTATTTATTTAGCTTGCTGCAACAAGATTGTAATGATCTTAAGAAAATCTTAACCAACTGAAACATTTATAATGACTAAAAATGAGATGCATCAGTAGGTCATATTTTTAGCAGTAAACGCAAGTAATGTTTTATCAGTCATGTTTTTATGTGTTGTTACCTTGTAACCTTTACAGTAACACATGGTTTATATACACAAATTTCACTTGAATTCAACAAATAATTAATTTTTGGTAAGTCTTCATTTTCCTTTAATAGTATGCTGATTCTATAGCAGAAATAGCAGGTAAAAGCAGTAGATTTAACTTTCTTTTTTAAATTCAGTTTGTCCATGTGTTTATTTACCTGGTACCAATTCCAGCTTAACTTCAGTGTAGATATCTATTCCAGTTCTGGTCACTCCACACCAGTATTTCCCAGCATCCGTGGAATGAAGATCAAAGATGGTTGCTGTGACGATTCGTGCTGTTTTGTCATCATTGATCCTGTATTTGCTTTTCCGTGATTCAGATGTTTTAATAAGAACATCATCATCGCTGCCACAATTGTTCTTACACAGATACTTCTCATAAGACTCGTAACCTTTATCATAGGAGCAGGAAATTTCAACCTTACTCCCCATATACCCAGTCACATGGTTTACCCCTACTGCACTGGGCACACATCTCAGGGCAACTGTAAAGAAAAGACAGTATAAAAAATATTTCATTTCTTTTGTCATTTCAGCACTCATACTAGCATTGCTACTAATGAAAATACCAAAATCAACAAAAGGTGTGGCACTGCAAATAAATATTTATACGTTTGATCTAGATTTACCTTTAATCTTCATCTATTTACTTATTTAGTCATTAAAACAACTTACTACAAATGGTAAACAGCAGGTTTTGAAGGCTCCACATCTTTGCTTTGCTTCGTAGAAGTAGAAATTTGACAGGAAATAAACTGAAAATGTGACGCCCACAATTTGTATATTCACATCTAGGTAATGTTTAAGCCTTTTACTTCTGCATTTAGATCACAATTCATTTAATTTTGCATATTTGTATTTTCAATATAGAAATCATATCTTTAAAGTCATTAAAATTTATTAGACTGGTAGTGAAGAAATTGGTTTTTTTATGATGAATTGAGCATACCCATCATACTGATGTTTAAACTAAAAAGAGTTCCTAGTAATTTAGTTGGTAAATTTAATATAGCATTTTATTTTCTTGCCATTTTTACACTGACACATATATTTTCTAACTAAATGGTACTGATTACACCACCAGGGGTGGAGTTACACTTCAGGAAATATTACATTAGCCGGTGCAAATGTTTTAACAGTTACAAAGGCACACAGGCTCATTATTCACAAGACAGAGCAAGATAAACATATAAATGAAGCAATAAGGAACAAGTAACAACTCTGTAAATAATATACAAAAAAACAAAACAAAAAAAGGAGTGCACGCACACACACAAGCACGCACGCACACACACACACACACACACACACACACACATGCGGCACGATTAAAATAAAACAAAAAGTTAACACGAAACAAGGCAGCACAAGACACTGTAAACCACAAAGAATAACCAAACAATACAAGTCGACAAAACAGCAACAAGATAACAACAAGACAGCAGCAGGTTTGGCTCGTAACAACACAGAGAAAAACTGTTTTCTGGGGTCCAACCTGCTAGAAACCAAATTGCTTAATGACAGGCTGTGGTCATCACCAGCCATGACAGGAATGCAGGCCAAATGCCAGGAGTCAGGGAAATGAAATGGACCTTTGATTTGTTTTTGTTTTTTTGTGTGTGTTGTTGTCATAGGGATTGTCAGAATTTGTCTGGTCTTTTGCCCAGGACCGGTTTGCCTTGGCAGAACCTACCTTGAGCATATTGAGAGACAACACATCTCTTACAATCACTGGAAAACACAAACCCCTCCGATGTTATAAGGTGGTGATTCACAGAGGTGGCCTCAGGATTTCATCTTTGCTTTCTGTAGATGATGTGGTTCTGTTGGATTCATTAGGTCATGACCTCCTTGCACTGGAGCAGCGTGAAGCAGGAATGAGAATCAGAACTTCCAAGATGGAGATTACATATTTTTGCTGGAAAAGGGTGGAGTGCTCTTTCCGAGTCAGGGCCGAGTTACTGGCCCAAGCAGAGGAGGAGCGTGAGATAGAAAGAGGAGGGCGGACATTGTACATATCTGTTGTGGTAACCAGATAGTTGAATGCAAAAGCAAAGCTGCCAATTTATGTTCAATCTACTTTTGTATGTGTTTTAGACACAAGGAATGCAGATTAGTTTTCTTTAAAGGGTGGATGGGCTCTCCTTTAGAGAAAGGGTGAGGAGTTTGCTCATTTGAGAGGGATTTGGAGAAGAGCCACTGCTCCTCCATGCCTTATTAGATGAGGTATTTGGGGCATGTGGTTAGGATGCCTAAAGGACGCCTTCTAGGCAAATTGTTTTGGGCTTGTCCTACAGGATGGAGGCCCCAGAGCACACCCAAGATTCACTGGAGACATTATATCTTGACTGGCTGGGAATGTCTCTGTCTTCCCCCAAATGAGCTGGATGCCTTTAACCTGTATAATAATAGTTATTTCCTAGCTATCCTAGCTGCAGGATTTCAGTTAATGAGACACACAAGATAAACATGTTATATATCTGCAGGATCATTCTCCAAATTGTGTGTAACAGTATATGACTTTAAGGCCGTACTCACACGATGTCCTGCTGCCTTATTTCACACCTGAGCATGAATATAACCACTTTCCTGCTGACCTGCACTCACACTGCGCTTATCTGGAAATCTGATCGAACCTTCCCATATGTAAAAGATATATATAAATCTTATAAAGTTTGTATCTGTCTTGTGTGAAACTTGTATGAAAAGCATACAAGAGTGAAAACAGATATAAGATCCCTTGAAGAATTATATAATGAAACTTGTATGTTTTGGATACTTACTAAAACAATATATGAAAGTAATGAGAAAGTGGCCACTTTCATGAGTAAATCATATAAGTTTTTACTATTTCTTTTCCATATGGGTTGACTTGGTCAAATCATAGACTTGACTCATAGCATCTTTCTGATAGCAGCAACACATTTTGCAGGTGGCGATATATTCCTAACCGTGTAGAAATGTTGGCCAATCAGAAGTCTAGAAGCCTGGGTGGGAAAGCGTAAACAAAGATGGCGCATAGGAGCAGAAAGGAGTCCTGTGTGAAGGGACAGTAACTGTGTGTGTATATGTAAGCATTTAAACACTTCAGAGAGTAAAATTAACAATAACAGTATTTTGTGTAAGTCCGGCATTGTCGAAATTTATTTCACCGAAACAATAACGTGGCGCACAGTGTGACGTCAAAAAAGGCGCACACCTTTGACACTGCGTTTTCTCCGTTTTCCTCGTCCACACGTAAATGCAAAAATGGAGTTTTCGAAAATATCCACCCTGGCAGGCGTTTTAGAAATCTGTTTTCAGTGACTGACAATGCAGTGTACGTGTGGACGAAAGGTGCAAACGCATAGAAAAATCTGCGTTTTCAAAAATACCCGGGTACGTGCGGACGTAGATTTGGAAACAGCGTTTTTGTCTGAAAACGCTCCGCATCCACACTAGTGTTTTCAGTCGTTTTCACAGAGTTGTGCGTCCACATTGAAACAGCCGAAAACGCTTACGTTCAGTACTGCGCATGCGCAAAAACAAGTGAGAATTAAAAAATTGGAAGAAAAACTATCTGGAGCATGTACAAACTGATATTAATCTTTTTTAGGTCTGTCAAAATTGAGAGCAATCAAAACAACTACTGTATAATGCACTCCGCTATCTTTGTTTAATTGGTCACATGACTACATCACATGACTAAAATGCGTCATCGTTTTGAAATGTATGCGTTTTCGGGA